CTCTTTTTTGTATATGTATATGAATAAAACAACAGAAATAAGGTATATCTATCAAAGAACAACATTACATGTAAGAAGGTCTTTGAACTTACAGGTAATGCTTAGTGTCCATGTCATAAGTGCATATTGTGAAATGTCAATTCCTGACTCTAATGTTAATTGTGAAACACAGAAATAAAAATTCATACCTTACAGCTAACTACTTTTATTTATACATATAAGGAAATATATGTCTAATTATCATCGTTTTAATACGCATAATTCTTCAAATAAGTCTACGATTTAAGTCACCGGGATGAAATGTAATGACAACAACATGAAAACGAATGACAAAAAACGAATTTGCTTTGTCAATTCAACGCCGATTGCTTCACGAGACGAATTTCAAAGATTTTGGACGAATCGGAATGCTAACAATAAGAATTATACTGAACCTTAAATGAAATCTAGTGGTAGCTTTCTGAAATTCAAATTGAGAAGTGAGCTTTGCGATGATCGGGGACGAAATTAAAGTATCGATATAGGGAATTCGAGTGATACAAGTGTTAAAATAGCCGGGAAAACCTTAGAAAATGCGCCCTATCTTTAGACTTATTTGAAGAATTATGCGTTTTAAAACAATGATAATTCAACATATATTTCCTTATATGTATACATAAAAGTAGTTAGCTGTAAGGTATGAATTTTTATTTCTGTGTTTCACAATTAACATTAGAGTCAGGAATTGACATTTCACAATATGCACTAATGACATGGACACTAAGCATTAAGTTCAAAGACCTTAATGTTGTTCTTTGATAGACATACATTATTTATGTTGTTTTATTCATATACATATATCAAAGAGCAACATTACGAAGGTGTTTGATCTTAATGCTTAATTTCAATATGCTAAGCAAAGAGCATATTGTGAAAGTTTAATTTCTGATTTTAATGTTAATTTTCAAAGAAAACTCAAAACTTACAGTTATACTTTCTTTTACAAGGAAATATCCGTTAAAAATTAAAATTTAATTAATGCGCAAACAAGTCCAAAGATTTGGCACATTTTGAATCGTAACGTTTTGTGTCACCAGAGACGAAATGTAACGACAAGAACATTAAAACGAATGACAAAAAACGAATTTGCTTCCACAATTCAACACCGATTGCTTCACGAGACGAATTTCAAAGATTTTGGACGAATCGGAATGCTAACAATTTGAATAATACTGCACCTTAAATGAAATCTAGTGGTGGCTTTTTGAAATTCAAATTGAGAATTGAGCTTGGCGATGTTCGGGGACGAAATTAAAGTATCGATATAGGGAATTCGTGTGATACAAGTGTTAAATTAACCGGGAAAACCTATAATAAAATAGTCATAACAAAGATAACAGCGCTTTTTTTTTCTGGCACCACCTACGGTATAATCTTACAAGTCTGCATGAAAATTTGTTGCATCCATGTATGTCCATATCCAAAGGCGTTCAATGGGTTCATGTATACCACCGTAACCGAGGAACCATAACCCCTTCATTTCCTTTTGAACAGTAATGTATGTCGGATGCTTATGGTACATTACAAACCACTGCTCTGTGCTTGTGTATTCTATGTGTAACCAGGTCGGGTTTTCGTTAACACTTTTACCCGACAGGTTCCTTACTCCAGCATTCATTTCATAACTTTTGTAATTTCGTGGTTGTGTCATTTCACACGTATGACATGCGAGCAGCCATTGCGATCATGCTTTTTGCCTAACGCCCTCTCGCGGCCAACTAAACTTTTTTTCACAGCGCGCGCCGCCTAGAATTTTGCTCAACTATGCAAAGGGCGTAGCGAGCAGGCGAGTTTAACATTCCACGCGCTTTGTTCAAATTAGATAGCTGACATTCCGGGTGTTTCGGTTAGTTTTCTTGTAAGGCTAGCTGCGAAATAACTTTGATTTCGATCCACTTGTTGCGTTCAAACCATCATTTTGCGAGCTCTTACTCTCCCCACGTTTATCTGCAAAGTTTGAGTGAGGCTCCCTAATAGCAGTAAAATATTTTCGTCTATTTTAACTGCTGATCTTCGATTTTCACATCGGACACGGAGAAGGCATGAACGTAGACCATCCCCAGTGGTGAGTAAATCCCTTGTCTGATATTTCAATTTTTTATGCCTAAAACCTTTTTATGCCTGAATCTTTTTATGCCATCATTTATGCAACATTCTGGTCTTTTGTATGTTTGTTTATTGCCATTTAAATAATTCTTCTGTTTGGGCAACAGTCATTTTATGCCACAGTTTGTTCCTTTACTAATGCATTTATAAAAAGTGTTTTGATTTACAAATAAGGAAAACTGTTTTTCCCAAATTACTTTGAATTAAATATCGTTAATAATGTATTTTGATCTGGAAGTTATTCCCATAATTCATTAGTCATTTTTTGTTTTTATGCATTTCAGATACTATCCTTGGAGTGACAGTTCACTAGCCTATTTTCCCTCTTTGACTGTCGTTTTATATACCCAACAAAGTTCCGTTTTATATACCCAACAAAGTTCCGTTTTATATACCCAACAAAGTTCCGTTTCATAAACCCAACAAAGTTCCGTTTTATATACCCAACAAAGTTCTATATACCCAAAGTTCATATATATACTGTAATTTCTTTTGTAAATACCTAATAATGTTTATATATATTGTCTCATATTTGTGCTGTAAATAAAACATTTGATATTATTGAGACAAACAAAAACTTCGCTCCACCCAAATTATTTTTTAGTGGAACCACTCGATTGTAAGGAGAGTGCCACATTTTAAAACTAATATATCCCACTCTCCCCGGTTACATATGTTTATGGGCACTGGGTTAATCTATAGGCTCACAAACCACTGATATGCTCTGTGATTGTGAATGGTAAGTTTGAGACTGGGCACTGGGCCAATCTATGGGCGTTCATTGCACAATGTTTTTGCTGTTGTAGTTGACGGCTTTTGGATTTGTTTACCAAACCCTGATTGTTATTTCCCCCCAAATTTCAGCATGTCTGAGCGGCTGTGGGGGATGCTTAAAGCCAGAGGGTTGAATCGAGAGACTGTAGACAATATGTAGAAGGAGAAGGTAAGGATGCTCGCCTAATAAACCATTGTAAAAGCCAAATATATACCATAGAGTACAAACAGCTTCATTGTGTTGGAAAGATTCTCTCCGTTGCTGATGTAGTTGCGTGTTATGAGTAGAAACCCCTCCACTTTTTTTTTTATATGCAATGAATAGTGGCGTACTCACATCAATAAAGGGAGGTTTTTGCAATCTGTATGGTTTTATGGCCTTGTGTGTTTTACGGTTCCCTCCAAACATACTGGACAAATGCATTCTGCTACCTTTTCTGCTAGATTGTTTTTCTTTGTATTTATATCTCTGAAATCAATATTTATTAATTTTCTTAATAATACAATTATTAGTGTTTTATTTGAACTGTGTGGCTTCTTCAGTGGAATCCATTGGTTTCCCATGGGTCACATAATCCATAATACAACAGACATTACAAACAATTGACATTTTGCCGAAATTCGTGTAAAACGGTCACCCTGCCTATATTAGGCACCCTGGTTACGACTTGCCCACGGTGCATCATGCACAACTAAATATAGTGCATATCAATTATGTGTACAGTAAAATGTGCCGCACATTTTATTCGGTGCACAATGCCCAGATCTCGAGAAGCACACTTCATCCATTCGCGTTCCACGCACACGTTTCAATTACACAAAAAGTACTATTTTGTAACGAAATGCACTGTGCTTGGCACTCTCTCCCGGTTATAAATAAACGAAAAAAATAAGAATAAATGCAAAGCCGGCCGCAGTTTTCAAGATGTTTGAATCAGTCGGGTGAGGCAACAAAACATTCTTTATTTTTGGCCTTACAAGCAAAAGTAATACATTTGTAAACATTTGTGCGCCGTGGTCATGCTGCTTGCCGGGAAAGTCTGTAGATGGGTCAAATTTAAATATACACAGGGATTCTAGATCGTGTTCAAAACATATGTGTGGCAATGTTTTTGTCATGCCACACGAAATTTCAAAAGGTATGGTGGTACTATATTCGACCTTTACAAAATCGTTGAAGGGTAAAATATTTCAAAATGATCCAAAATTTAGTAAAACTAAAATGTGTCCCTTGTTGAAACTTAGCCCCTTATTCCTGTCTAACATCAGGGGGTATTTTAGGGCACTTGATGTTAATTGCATATGGACCCCTATAGAACATTTCAGCTTGTTGTGAGCTATTTCCATGTTCTAACACAACTCTTGGCTTACAGCGCCACACGAATAAACACGTATACGTTATTCAGCGAGAAATGTGCACTTTGTCTTAAGAGCAGGAAATTGAACAAGTCGGGTCAAAATGAACTAGAATTTATTTTAGGATTCGAACCCATCCCGGATCTTGCCCATTTTGGGGGCGGGGTTCGATTTTTTGAAAGGGGTGTGCAAAAAAATGAACTTAGACATAACATTCTAACATACTAAACCTTTTTTTTTTAACCACTCAGGGTTGGCTGATTTAAAATAAATTTAAAAAAAATAATGCCACGTTGCTCCTGAGCATCACAAGGCGGCGCTCTTTGTGTACGATATTGCGTTGTTTTCAGCGCGTATTTGTTGTGGTGGAACCATAGGAACCTGTAAGAGAAGGGTGTAAGGGTGATGGGGATTATATTAGACACCTCGTAATTTTGAAAATCAAAACAGCCCCAAATCTTAAATACGCCAAAAAGTCTAATTTCAATCAAATAAATCAGATTGTTTTGAATGTTTAAAAAAATGGACAACCCTATTTTCGTTGGCATGGGTTAAATATGCACAATTTAATGCTTTTAACGCAAAGTGCACAATTTCTGCCAAATATGGAAATAAACACCGTAAGTGAGTTTTTACTGTTTCATCAATAGAGTTCCGAAGGCGAGCATGTGACACATGCTCGCCTTTGGAACTTTATTGATGAAACAGTAAAAACCCGATCATCCATGGGCAGATTCAAGTCCTCCTACAAGAACGCCCTCATCTCCCAATATGTGACTTACCTGATTTACACCGGTGTGGCGTGTAAGTCTGTCAAGCCAGCGAATTATATTTTTGAATATTCATGAGTCTACGTTTTTGGTCTTTATTTCATTGAATTCTGATAAGTGATAACTACATAACCATGGTAATGCCGAGCACAATATCTTTAGCTTTAAGATGAACAATGAAATGTCGCTTTTGTTTCATCGGTTCGGCATCACATCTCTCTAAAAACTTTTTAATAAAAGCCTAATTAATAACGAAATTTGGGTTAATACAGTGTTCTCCAAATTTGACATTTATTTCCCGGGTACATACTTCATCTATGACAACAAAAACTGCACAATACCATCTGGTATATCCTGAAGTATTTATTTTGGAACAATTTTGGAACAATTATATCTTAAATAAGGAGTAGTTTTGCTTACAGTTTTATGAATATTCCGTTTTAGATGCCATGCAAAATCCCCAATACAATGGCACACCTGGAACATTCGCGATTACAAGCCAACGGGTATTAATGCCCGTTATCACGCGTCTAGACAAGTCCGCTCAGTGCATTTCGTACTAGAGCCCAGAACAGTCGTGGTGTCTAGGATCCGTGGGAGAAGCAATAAGGGAAAAGTGTCTTTGCCAAGAGTACGTACCCGTACCTCAAAGCCGCGTAAAGACGCACACCGCGCCGTTGAAGTGACCTTTACACCATGCTCAGTCCTTATGTTCGTAGTTGCGGTTTCTCATTGCCTATAGAAATGATTTCTTGGTTGTACTATTTATTTTCTTCCATTTTTTTTTTAGATCGAAGAGGATGTCATTGTGAAAATGACCAACGACGAACTCAGCGAGTACATTCCTCGTAAAGGTGACCGGGTTGTCGTGAAGGCTTTCGCCCGGAAAGAGAAAAGTAGAACGCAAGCTGAGAAGAGGAAATCCACACTGCTTGAGAGCCTGGGGTCGAAAGTAGCATCAAAGTCAGGGAAGAAAGAACCCAAGCTGTTGAGTGACACCGAAGATGAATCGGACGGTTGCGCCCCTGGACCAAGTGATGATGGTCGGAAAAACAACACACATAAAGCAGCAGAAACCAAGAAGGGACACAAAAGCACGCAAGCGAAATCAGCATCAAAAAGTTGAAGGTCCATAATTGTTGGGTTCTCTATTTATGATGCCAAAGAGTCCAGGTACAAGCAGGTACGCGCCCCAATGGGTGGGGGAGTGCGTCACATTTCCATCGACAAAAATGCAACCAAAAAACAATTGATACATGCCATTTTTTCCTGATGGAGACAATTTTTATGGTTTACTAACTGACTTTAACTTCAACATCTCTACAGATGTTCATGGACGTCAGTTCGTTCATGGCAACGAGACAGTGCAGCTCTTGACCGAGAGACTTGGTCTGAAACACCTTTGATGCTATCTTCTGGCAAATTCCGACCTAGATGACGACAAATCACTAGGTGACACGGATGAAGACATGGAAGATGATCTACCAGATACGTTTCAGCACAAGCGATGGAGAGAAGATGAGACCGTCCCGCCAACCGTTGATGCGAGCCTAGACGGGCTACCGAGTACATGTGACGGGCGCCACATTTCTAATGGGCAACCTAATAACTCGAAGCAGTATAATCAGTTAGATCAAGGTGATGAGATGAAAGACCAATTGTTGTCCGAAGCAGCTGGAGGCGTTGGCGTTCAATTAGACATCCAGACGATACTTGCGGCAACCTGTGGTTCGGATGATGTCAATCTCGAACCATGCTTGAACTGCCTGGTCACATACCTGCTGAATTTAGCGAAAAAGACCAGCTGGAGGGGAACCTGACTTAAATGAGACCCAGCCATTGGTAAAAGAAGTAAAGGTGCACTGTGGCAACGTTTGTCAAGAAATGATAGCATTTTTCTGGAAAAGAGGAGAACGTCAACCTAAGGGAACAACCTTTGAAGTGAAGATGCTGAAATCAGAGAGAGGGCTGAAGACAGCAACGGAGGTGTCTTGAGGGATGCACTTAGTGGGTTTTTCGACAGCTTGTTTTGCAGTACACAATCGGCAACTCAGTGTACCGGTATTACGCCACGACATGACCGAAGTCCATTGGTCGGCTGTGGGAGAAGTACTCCGCAGGCTTGGCATTCACACAGGAGGGAATTTTGCCGGTTAGGTTGCTCTGCCTTTAACGGAGCAGTTTTTATGGGAAGATGTATTCTAATTACTGTTTATTTAGTGTAACACGCCAATCAAAATTACATTTCCTATTTTGAAATTTTGTTGCTTTTTCTTTAGGATGCAAATATTACTCTCGAATGAAGGATTTGGTTGTACGGTGACAGGTTGTACGGTAACACAAAATCCTATTTTTAATTTGGCGGTGCACACCTCCACGACCAACTTGAATTATGCAAAAGTGACTCAAAATCGAACTCTTTTGTTACAAGCTCCCAACTTGTTGGATAATACCATTGAAAGACAATTTTATAAAGACAAATTGAAGAGTGTGGACGGTTTACAATGTATGTATACCTCAAATGGATGTATTTTGATTTTCTAAACAAATTTGGACCACACTTAACGTGTTTATTTTGCCCTGTTTAATTGCATAAGCATATCGGTAAGTAAAGTGTTACACTTCTCGGGCAGTTGCATGTGTTAGAGTTGGTTTCAGGTTTGACAGAGTTATTACATTTTACTTGTTGATTTTGTGTTCATTTGTAAAAGTGATTTCATGTATTGGTAATCATGTTTAATTAAAAGGTGAAGTTGATTGTAATATAGTAAATTCTCGGAAAGGCAGTTAAATCGCAAATACAAGAGATTTTTGATGAAACGTTGGTTTCTTGGTTAGTATTCATTTTTTATTTGTTAGTAAGACTGTCATTTCATTCTTCCCGTCCTCTAAAGTCACATTAACCAAACAGAAAATAGGCACATTTTTGACAAAAACAGGAAGTTCACAAATATTTAAATGAATCATAGCACCACCTTTCCAAATAACATATTGCCGTAAACATAAACTCTAAGTGGTAATTTGATGATAACATTCTTAAAAATTGAAAGCACAAAATACAATAGTTCAGCAACCAATCAAACTCACGACACGGCGACCATGAAAGCCTCAACACGGTAAAGGCAGGAAAGTATAGTTAGCGCTTAAGTATACAAATATTGACTGCATCGAGTGGTGTAGTAAACCTAGCCTCCCGAGGTGATCCAGACCAGTGTGGCCACTGCTTGAAAAAAATTCAAGATCTTAAAAAAATTGAGACCCAACTTGAAAACTTGAAAAAAAAATGAAAAAGCAAGAAATCTTGAAAATTTTCAAAAAGTACAAAACCACATGTTTTTTTTTAGAAACTTGACAACTTTTTCCACTGAACACCCGAGCTTTTTAGCGACTTTTGTTTTTACTTTTTAATTTTTTTTGGCATTGGCGCGCTATACTTACGGTCAGACCCTGTAGTGTATGTAAGCTTAGGCTAGGCACTGCATGACGCGCGCTTTATACATGTGCCTCAGTGTGGTCGCTAGGCTATGCGTATAGTGCCCCGATCGCCAGCGTCAATTATGTGTGTAAACATATGCAGTACAAATGTGCAAGTCAACTGGCGCCAGTTTAATTAAGCTACTCGAGTTAAGTTCTATTAAAAAGTGCAGTGAAAGAGGGATACAGTCCCAGAAAGTTTATTGCCCTGAAGGGAAAATACGGTGAGTTGCCCAAAGATATGAACTGCATTGTTGTACATTATGTACCTTGTATTATTTAACCTGAATTTTATTCTGATTCTGGCTTTTTTCGGAATGGGCGAATTAAGTTTGTGTATCATGAGTGGGTCACAATTACTAGACCTACATATCATGTACTAGGCCTACTTTGGCATGTCATAACGCGTACTATGCTGCCTCACAGTGCATGGCCCATGTGCCTCCACTCCAGTGTAGGCCTAATTTGTTTGTTATCATATGGATGGGGGTTGACTTGAAGTATTTGATGCTGAGTGTTGTGAAACGGCTCATGGTTATTTAACACAAACAGTCAAAGAAAGCATTGCTGAGTTAGTTGGTACGCCTACCTCAGTCATATGCATTAGCCTTAGGCTAAACATACTAAACTCCCCTTTTGCCATGTTTGCTTCAGGTACTCACATTGGACAGCTTTTGACTATATGATACACACCATCATGAAAGCATCTTGTTCTGAGAAGGAGCCTGTGCCTCATGCTAGTTCTGACCAGCACGACCAGAGCAACGCATCCCCTCCTAAGAAAAAGTTGAAAAAGTGGTATTGTCAGCCCTTCAGGAGTGGCTCGTGGATCCAGACCTTAAGGAATGGCTGATACCAAATTCCAAAACTCCAACAAAACAGCATTGTTGGGTCACAAGGAGTCTCAAAAGCATAAACAAAACTTCAGGGCAAAGACGAACACAATTGCTATCAGCACCTTCTTCCGATCCCCCAAGGAACCAGATCCACAAGATCAAGTTTGTAATGCTGAACTGCTACTCACAGCATTTATGGCAGAACACCAGGTGCCGTTTAGGCAAGCCGACCATCTTGTCGAAACAATTAAAAAAATGTTTCCGGATAGCAAAACAGCCCAAAGCATGCAGTTGAAACACACAAAAGCGTAATGCAACATGGCATTGCAAGGGAGGAGCGGCTAGCAATCGCAAATTTTTGCAGAAACCAAAATTCTCCCTCATAATCGATGAGAGTACTGACATCAATTTCGCAGGTTCTCGCAGTGATGGTGATGTACTTCGACAAGAACAAGCGTGAAACTATAGATGCCTTGTTAGACACTATTGAAGTGCCTGATGCTACAGGCATTGGCCGATATAATGCCGTGAAAGAACTTCTGTCGAAAAAAAGCATTCCGATCTCAAATATAATCGCCTTTGCTGGTGATAATTGTTCCACTATGATGGGCACTCGCAGCGGTTTCCAAGCTCACTTGAAAAAGGATGTACCAAATGTGTTTGTGTTGGGCTGCATCTGCCATTCCTTTGCTCTTTGCGCCAACCATGCAGCCAGCAGGAAGACAGTGTGTTGGCTCAGCTATGCATCCTGGATCCGGCAGAGGCCACTTCAACAGAGAGAAAAGTGAAGTCCATCATTCAACTCGCTGTGAAGTTTTCATCCTTGGTAGATGAGGAACACCTGGATGATCTCCAAGATCAGTGGTTGGGGCTTCTATATGCCAAGGAAGCACTGGCTAGTCTGGCTAACCACAAAACATCTTCCTTCTGGTGTGAGCTTGGGTCAATCAAAGATGGGAATGGTCATCCAAAATTTGGTCATCTGTCTAAATTCATGTGTGGGCTCCTTGCACTCCCTCATTCATCAGCTTGTGTAGAGAGGTTTTTTTCACAAATAAACTTGGTGAAAAACAAACAAACCAACCGACTTCAGGCACGAACTGTGGCCAACAGACTCCTAGCCAAACAGGCCATCTCGAGGCAAAATGCGGTTTGCCATACATGGGACCCGTCAAAGAGCCTCATGAGTGATGTAAAGCAAGGACACTGTCATAAAAGATACCTTGAGTCCTTGGAAAATGACAAGGAAAAGATCACAGCTGAAGGCCAAATGCCAGATACAGAACTGCAGGATATTGACCCCATCGACGAGGAATGCTACACACGTTGTGGGACAAGTTACTAAAGTCATCAGGACCCACAATTAGATGCCCTCTCCCTGTCCATGAGCTCCGGTAAGTATACGTAAATGAGTTCTATTTAGTTTACGCAAGTTTATGTAGTAATTCCATAGGCTTGAAAAATCTTTAAAAATTTTAGATGGCGATCTTGAAAAAAAAAAAAAACAGAGTGGCCACACTGATCCAGACAGAATGGTCCATGCATGGATCTTGAAGAGAGGATAGTTTTATTACGCCACGAGATAAAGCAGTCAATATTTGTTTTATAACACGTACCTCGAACACAAATGCTGTTTGATTTTAAGCGATAGCTATTTATTTGTTGTTAATACAATAAACTTGAAAATTAATTTTGAAAAAGACATATCAGTCACTTCCACAACCAAATACTAGTGTGCTAAAAATCAATATGGGCTGAGTGGGTTCTCGGACTTATACATGTTTATATTTATCGTATCTCATTTCGTTCAGTATTCCTTGAAAAAGGACAACTTGGAACTGGTCTCAATAAGTCAC